AGAACTTGCCCACTGAATCTTGTGTTTGACTATCCTAAGAGAGAGGATAGGTCAACTTGAATAGATTAAGGGAAGTTAAGAGACTCAATAACGTTAAGAAGACCAACCACGTGACCGGGGTCCGAACGATAACCGAAGCCTTGGGATTCCCTTTGCATAATCACTACGCCGTCTTTCGATAGGTTATCTTGATACGTTGTACGAAGATCCATAAGACTGAGCGACAGACTCGCCGTTTTCCTGGACGACACTATCTCTCTCAAAAAAACTGTTTTTGTTGTACAAAAAAAAGTTACACCTGAACTTAAATTTTGATTGGCTTTTCTAATACTTTTGTGTTACCTAGTGTACAAATGGTAATTGTCTTTAAAAAAATTTATTATTAAATTGTTGCGATTTTACACGTCTGATAGTTTTTTTTTTTGCGTATTTTTTAAAGAAACGATTTTTTTGCCTAAAACTATTTTCGAACAAATGTCTTCTTTTTCTTCTTCTTTGTCTTTACCTTCGACCTCAACAAGTTTTGCGGATTTTGCAGAAATCAAAGCCCTTGAAATTTTTGACAGATGGAAGGACCCATTTACCAAATATTTTGAGGTGACGCTCTGTAAAAATTGGTCCCCTGAACATTACGTGAACTGGATCGTTGAGTGTTTAGCACAACGAAGAGTAAGGGAAAATTTTTACAGGGCGGTGAAAACGATAAATAAGCATGAAGATATTTCTTCAAGAATTAAAGCGGTTACCAATGTTTTGTTTTTAAAAAAGCATATAAAATAATGTATACGTATATAATTTTCAACATGACATTTCTCCAAAAAAAAATTATCGGCAATTAGCATAAGACATTTCGAACAGTAATATTTCTTGATAGTAATAATTTTTTTGACGAGAATAGTTTCAGAAAATTGTATCTGAAAAATTATTCACAAGAATATATAATAATTTCACGGTGGATCGCAGCCTAGATAATTTAGTTCAATTTAGAGTTAGAATTAACCTTATTAGAGTTGAAAGTCGGAGAAATAGCTGTTGGTGAAAGGGAGTGAAAGCTTATTACACATAATCTTAAATTTTAACACCTTTTTTGTTTGAAAAAGTCGACTGAATAAGTATGAGCAAATCTGCCGAATACTGAAAAGAAGCGGAGCAGATGAAGTGGGAACCTCCAAGAGAAGAAAAGTGACCGACTCTGAAAGGGACCGTGAGTAAAAACATTTATAATGTATTTACATCTTGCTTATGCTTAAATTTATTTTTATTTTTATTTTTTTTATTTTAGTCGTAAGTCAAGAGGAAGTGTTGTCCTATATTCCGCTTCTGATTGAATTTTCTCCCGATGCTTCTGCATAAAAGGTAACCACATCGGCGACCGGAAAGCCGCCAAAGGAAGTTAGACTTTGGGAGGGTTCATTGAGGAGGTAGACGGATATATCTTCAATCAAGAGAAGAGAGAATTCGATGTTCTCAAATTTTCTTGTCAGCGCCCATTCCACAAGGAAAAGTCCGTTTGTACAGCCATCGAGGTGAACGTCAATACTGTACTAAACGAGGTAATGGGGGCGCTGACTACGACTTTTCAGATCGGTCACCCGGTAAAGGCAAGAAAGTGAAAGTAGAATTAATCTATGTTAAATTAGAATAAGAAGTTGCAAATCAGAATTAAAAAATGGTTTGCGAAAAAATAAACGTGGAAATTTCTACAACATATCAGAGGTTGGTCTCAGTTTAATAAATTAGTCTCATGTTCGGAATTAAAAAACAATTATATCTGGCTAATTCGTTTTTTAATCGGGTTAATGTTAGTACGTTCATTTTTTTAATTGATTTTGTAATATATTATACGAACGAAAAGGGAAAAATCTTCTAGATTCAAAAATCCTCCTCGTCTTCGCTTTCTGAAAAACTAATTTCAGTTTTCCAACTTGTCATTTAGTCCGTTTTCGGCATAATTACGGTTTGAATTTTCCCAAGGTGGTGTTACTATTGTAAATTGGGAGCGAACAACGTTGTACAGTTTAGCTCCAATAGTTAACCGGGTACTGGGATAATAGTCTAATTACTATAAGTGTAAGTAATATCGGTGGGTTATTTATATTCAGGTCGATGGTCGTTAATCGGAAGGGATGATACTTTAAGGGTGGATCGAATTGATATGATATCTATAAAGATGGAGTTACTATTAATTGTACTACTGTCAGAGGCAAAATCGGCATATCAGAAAAAGAAGGAACCGTGCCTCAAAGTGATTCGCGAAGCCCAAGAACCGATCCAAAAACCCACATGCCAAATCGCATGTGAAGATCCCGCAGGACCAATGATCGGCAAATTCGTGTTAAACCCAAAAAGGCATTGATGAATAATTAACCTGATTGTCAAAATGCGGCTTAGAGATGTCAGTGGGTTGAGTTAACCATATCCGGATTAGTTCGTGGCCGTGTCGCAGTGCCATGATAAATTTTAAGCCTGTTCATTGAAATTTACGAAGTGAAACCTTCGTTTTAGTTCTATTTCTTTCTTTTTGTTTCTTTTCTGTGTTTCCAAAATTTGTATAAAAGAAATGTAAATTTGACAACATGTAAGAGAGATTAGATGCCATCACAATCTGATCAATAAAATAAATAAAACTCTTACCTTTGCCTAACGTTTCGCTACCGCCTTGACCCGTGCCAAATCAAATTCCGCCTCTCTTTTAGGTAGTGTCACGTTACGCTGCGTCTTGGATTTCTTAGCGACGCTGTCGCGCTATTTTTTTTTTTTTTGGAGGTAGTGTTGTTAGCCTCCGACACTACGTATAAATAATAAAATTAATAACTTAAAAGTGATCTAAATGTTGATCACACAATCGTAATATTCGACACTAATTCGATTAAAGATTGATCTAATTAACAATCTAAACAATTATACTACACGTGATGTTACTTCCTATATAACTCGTTAAGAATACGGCTCTTAGTTACTCAGTGAAAGGTCTATTCGGCCTCAATGCTTACTTCCTTTATGTTAACCAAGAGACCCAGCGTATGCTTATAGTCGTTATTCAAATAATGTGGGGAGGAATCGATTATTTAATTAGCGAAGATTTTAGTGAATTTATATGGTGAGGGAATTTCAAGAGTAATTTGTAGTTATTATTATTTTATTCATTTCGTAACTTCATTCGTAACTTGGAACTTTTTCTTTTGGAAAGGCGAAAAGGACCTATATTTATGCAATTTAGTTCGCGAAGGCTATGCTAGGTAAATTCTAAATAATATCGCTCATATCTTTATGAGCAGTTGTTTACTCCTTCGTGAGCAGTTGTTTCGCTTACGTTTAAGCCATTCTAAGGTAACACGAAGCCACACTGCTCACATCGTTATACAATTCAATTCAATTAGGGCTTATTGAATATACGCCTTAGCCCCACTGCTCACCCTAATGTTTACATAGATTATTATTACAATTCTTAAACGTAAATAAAGGTATGAGCAGTCTAACAAACAAATAACTATATAAAGTGTAATTGAAATAATGAAAAGGCTAAATAATAATAAAAATAAAAGATAATAAATAAATAAATAATAAAATAAAATAAAAAGAAATAATTTAGCGAAAAACCCGTGACTTATAACGATACACTAATTTATATTCCAATAGTGGTTAGTAAATCGCCAGCCAAATTTGGATCTCATCACTTAGAATCGTCAGCCACCTCCAAAGCTGCTAAATTATCTTCTATTTCGTTGCGAGTTCGAATAAAATTTTTTAATTGGCTTTACTCATTTCCGTAAGGTCGGGTACCGATAGTTTCAGCATAAACTAATCTCATATCCTTAGTCATTGAACCAGTTGGAAAAATTGGTTATAAACTAGAAGGAAGTTACTGAATGAGTTAAGTTAGGTTTAAAACTCAACTATAAGAGAAGGAATCGAGTTAGATTTACGAGACTATGCAATTTTGGAAAGAATAGACATTGTGACCAAAAAGTGCGGGATTTTTATGATGGTCTAACTTCCTAATTACCACCAAAAATATTTAGCCAAGAGAAAATCATTGAGTGAAGATTTAAGTAAAGAAGAAATGCTAAGTGAATAGACGAGGCAAAATATGCTTTTTTTGAAAAAATTCCGGAAAGTCAATCCCACCTTTGATAACGTTCTAATAAACTCAAGATTTTTTCTCTCTCTTTCTTCCTTTTCCTTCTAACTTAGGAAAAGATTTGTTATTTCGGTTCAGACTTCATTTGACCAAACCAATTAGTAAACAATGGAACTATCTTTAATTAAATTAAGGTTCTTTCGTCACTTTCCAATGAATCGAAGGCGTTTTTACAGGATGAAAATGCATTATTTTCATTCAAGGATTTGTTGATGTAATGATACGCAGAAATTCTATTCATCGTGCTTGCTTGATCACAAATCTTGTATATTGAACTTGTCAAACTTGTTGAAATTCAATGTCTTGGAAAGTTTTAGGTGGCATTTATAGTATACTTGTAACCCGAAACCCGAAACCTTTCCGAAACTTTCAAATTAGAATGTTAATAATTAATGCACATTTACTAT